ATCTATTATGTGGACTTTCTTTCTTGCAGGATTTTCTAGTTCCAATCTTTGCTTTGTGGATTTGGGGGTGTATTTTAATGCCAGCGAGTTCACCAGAAGAAACTAAACCATGTAATCAATCTTCCTGTCCCTAGTCAGGTTTTCAAAGTCCTTTCTTCAGAAATCTTAGCCTAGATGAGATGTATTTTTAATTCAGGGAACACATTTAGGCCTGTGGCTCTGAGAGGCTTATGAAGGGTCTTGGGAAAGACAAAAATTTCATCCATGTTCTTTCTACTGATACTACAGAAATGGAGCTGTGGGCTATCTTCTGGCTGAAGATGCAGGGATGAGTGGATGGTTTGGTTTAAAAGGCAGATGCAGTGCCGGGTGTGGTGGCTCATGCCTGTGATCCCAGCTCTCTGGGAGTCCAAGGTGAGTGGATTACTTGAGCTCAGGAATTTGAGAGTAGGCTGAGCCAGAGCAAGACCCCATCTCTAAGAAAAGATATAAAAATAGCCAGGCATTGTGGCAGGCACCTCTAGTCCCAGCTACTTGGGAGACTGAGGCAAGAGAATCACTTGAGCCCAAGAGTTTAAGGTTGCTGTAAGCTGTGATGTCACGGCACTCTACCAAGGGTGACAAAGTGAGACTCTGTCTCCAAAATAAAGCAGACACTTAGTAATATTTCTCTAACAGCATTCTGCAAGGTTGGCAGTACCTCCTAGTGGGGCAAGTCAGACATTCAGAGATTTTTTTCGATGAATCTCCATCATGTATATCAAATTTAAAAAAGATCGTCCTCAGTTTCCTTAGGTATCAAAGTTTCTCTTTGATATCTGAGAGGGACAGAAGTGAAGAAGTTGCCTATCAGAGAAAAAGGATGTGGAGCAGAGGGGCAGAGGTTCCAATCAGGACCCTGGGTATTATTCTGACCCTTTGTTAATTTATTTTACAAGCACACATGAATCGCTCTTGTTTTCTTCATCCAAGAACCAGGTGAAAAATGCCTGGCTCAGTCTTCTGTGGGCAAGCACCTCTGTGAAGACAACATTCGGAACTAACATCAACTAACTAACAGTGCCAGATTGTAATCCCATCCACTCCACTCAACCAATGACCACGATGGTCTCTTTACAAGATAGCTTATTTGTGTGACCTAAAAAACATCACAAGCACTTGCCTAAAATTCATGCTGAGAAAAGCAAGCGGAAAGAAAGAGTGAAATTAATCTAAACTTGATAGAGGCAAGAGATGTGTGATTCAAAACATCCTGAAAGTGTCTACAGAGATGGAAATGGAGGATGTGTTGAAACGTGAGGATTTCCAGCTGTTCAGATGCTTCTCATTGAAATCACCTATGAAAAATATTTTATAGCATTGGATTACTAGTGAGACTTAAGATAACAAGAAAGTAAATAAGGCATAGCCCAGGGAGCTCTAGTTGAAAACAGACAGTGTCTTAGTTTTAAATCTTCTCTGCCACCTCCTATCAAGTAAGTCCCTTCAACTTTCCAAGGCTTCCTTTCTTCAAACAACAACACTCAATTTATATGTAGTAAATGAGATCATCCGTGTGGACATGCACAAACTTTAAAGAGTTCAAGAAATGTTGGGTATCGCATAAGTCCCCTGTCACACGGACAGGAATGGCGTGCTCACCCTGGTGGCACCACTCTAAGGCAAGCCGAGTAGACCCTGGGTTGGGAGTTTCTCTCAAATGCTTACATTTGATGTTCTCTCACAAAAGCTGCAAATTCAGGATCATTGGCATACAGCTCCAGAACCCTCATTCTCTCTTGAATTTCCTTAAGCAAAAAAGGAAAAGAGGATACACATTGCATTAGAAAAACCTCAACAGATTTATAAGAAATTGTGAGTTTCTCAGCTATTCAGGTGAGAGCTCTAAGAAAGAACTGCCCTTTCAGAGAAATGGAAGGTTCCCCACACACACTTCTCTGGATATTGCATATACTCCTCTAACTCAGAAATATTTCTTAAAGAAGAAGGAGGGAATTACAGAGTATTTTGCTAATAACAGGAAAAAGAGGCAATGGGTGGGAAATAAGGAACAGCTGAGAACTGAATACCTTCCATACATCGCATTGGGAGGTAAGAGGTAAAAACCAATCCTGAGATAATTTTCATCTTTCCTTGAAGCCCACGTGCCTGCATGCATACACACACCACACACACACACACACACACACACACACTCCAGCAGTAGCAGCAGCAGTGCACCAGCAGAAATGCAAAGTTTCCTACCTCTCTAGAAAGCTCACTGCTCTCATACATCTGTCTGATTTCTTCTCTGCTCAGGCCACCAATCATCTCTCCACCTGCAGAGCTGCAGAAGGGAAGCTGGGGATAGAGTCCCTCATACTGCTCACATCCAGCCATGTGGCTTTCATACACGGGGTTGAACTTCAAAGCATTCTCAACAGATGAGAGGCTGTCAGGCTCCCTGATGGAGCCGCAAAAAGAAAGATATGGTTAATTCAGGTTCTTCTTAGTAGGCTCAACTACTTGGAAGGCTATTTACCTGGGATGAGACGTCTACTGGAGAAGAAAAGAGGTAAACTGGACACGTGTTGGCGGGTAGAGTGTGTGAGTGTGAAAAATAGCCAGATCATCTCACAAATGACTTATCAGGTGTTATCACTCTCTCGC